TACCGGCACGCGTCGTACCAGGTCAAGCCCGTCCTGCTCGACCTGTTCGAGCGCCACTTTGTCACCCTCGGCGCCGGGGTGGTGCCCTGCCTGCCCGGCCTCGTCCTCGCCCTCCTCACCGCGATGGAGGACGTCGGCTCCGAGTACCACGCCCGCGCCGTGCGGCAGCTCGACCAGCTCGCCCGCGACGCCCCCATCGGCGCCTTCATGTCAGCCGTCTGGGGCTGCCTGCTGCGCAACGCCTCGGTGCGGCTGCAGGCGCTTCACTACCTCGCGATGCGCTTCCCCGTCGGCGCCGCGCCGGCCGCAGGCGACGACGGCGGGCGCCTCTCCGTCTCGCGGGCCGCCTTCTGCCCCGACTCGCACGGCGGCGTGCTGCGCTCGCTGGTGGTCGCGCTGCAGCAAGGCGACACGCTGGTCCGCCGAACTGCGCTCGAGCTGCTCGTGCACCACTTCCCTCTGCCGCGCACGAGGCGCGCCGAGCTGCCGCAGGGGGAGCGCGGCACCGCCGCCCCCGCCTTGCTCGAGGGCGCCGCTCGCTCCGCCGTCACCGACTCGGTAGCCCTGTGGCCGCCGCCGACCGCTCTGCCTCCGCCGCCGCCTCTCGGCGCGGACGCGCGCGCAGAGTGGACGGGCTCTCGACCCCTGATTAGGCGGACCACACCACTCCCGCAGCGGCGAGCAGCTCTTCTCGCACGGCGACTACACGACGCTGCTGCGCGTCGCGCTCACGCTGCTGCCGCTGCGGGAGTGGTGTGGTCACGCCTAGTACGACACCTCCAGAGTCTCGAATCCAGTGTGTGGGTTCAGTCCCGTGGGTGGTGCGGTAGGGCCCTCTCGCGCCGCGTCTTCCTCTGGCTGTTTGGCGCTCCGACGCAGCACGCGACGGGCTCGCACCTGCCGCTGCCGCCGCCGGCGGTGCCGCTTCTTCTTGGCGCAGCGAGGCAGCTCTTCACCTGCGAGGCGCCGCCGCTGCCCGCGGCGGCTGCGGCGGCGACGGACGACCACGACGACCCCCTCGCGCCGCGGGCCGAGGCGCTTCCAGTCTCCGCCTCCCCCTTCCGCACACTCGCCCACGCGCTGGACGAGCCCGCCCTCGCCGACGCCATCGCGGCCGACGACGCGCTCCTCCTCACGGCGCTGGCGGCGGCGGCGCGCTGCGGCGAGGAGGAGGAGGGGCGGGACGAGGTCGGACGCTCCCTGACGCACGAGCGCCGTATGAACAGCCTCCGGCAGCAACAAGGTAGCCCTGTGATAACAATAGGTCGGCCGCTTCCTCACACACGAGCGCCTCCCTCCACGGAGCCTGTGGCGCGCCTGCCTGCACGCGCTCCTCGCCCTCCGCCCCTCCGCCGCCCGCTCCTCCCCTCCCCCGCCACCGC